TCTCTCTCTCTCTCTCTCTCTCTCTCTCTCTCTCTCTCTCTCTCTCTCTTCCCCCGTGTATCTCACACAAGCACACAAACAGACAGCAAAATAGACTCCGACTTGGGAATTGCAGCAAACTGATCAGAGGGAGCGATTTTTTTTTATTTTTTATTTTTAAATTTTATTTTAGATGTCTTCTCCTCATATGGGGGACAGCTTCCATCATATTTTTTATCAAATGGCGCAACTTTTGTTTCTCAGAGAATGCAAATTTCTGTCTGTGGAGGGGAGAGGGGTAGAATTGCAAAGAACAGGTGTAGTTACAGGGATACAAGTCTCGTTTTCGAACAGGGGTAGAGTTGCAAAAAAGAGGTGTAGTTACAGGGATGTGCATCTCTTTTTCGTACTTAGTATAGGGGCAGAGTAGCAAATTTGTCATAGAGTAGCAAATTCGAACGTAGTACAGGGGTAGAAATGCAAAAAGGAGAGGTATTTACAGGGAGACACATCTCTTTTTCGTACTTCGTACAGGGGTAGAGTGGCAAAAAATGGGTGTAGTTACAGGGATACACGTTTTGTACGCAGTCCAGGGGTAGAGTAGCAAAAAGCAGGTGTAGTTACAGGGATACAAAACTCTTTTCCGTTCTTAGTACAGGGGTAGAGCAGCAAAAAATAGGTGTACTTATACGGTTATACCGACACTCATCTCTTTTCCGCACTTAGTACAGGGAGGGCGGCAAAAAATAGCTGTAACTCAGTTACAGGGATACACATCTTTTTTGGTACTTACTATAGGGTTAGAGTAGCAAAAATACATGTAGGTCCAGGGATACACGCCCATTTTCGTACTTAGTACCGCGGTGAGGTATTCGAGGAGTCCTGGCTCATAGCGATAAAGGGCACCACCTGGTGGAGCCCCTTGCATGCATATACCCCCACCTGGTGGAGCCCCTTGCATGCATATACCCCCACCTGGTGGAGCCCCGTGCATGCATATACCCCTTTTGCTGCTTCTCCGCGAACGGATGGCATGCAACTCACTGGTTCAATGTCCCTCGAACTCAGCGGCCACTCGTGCAGATTTGTTGGGGGGCGCGTTTTGCACTCCACTACACAGATGTGGAGAGAGGTGCTTTTAATTAATAATTTGGTTCCCACTCTTGTGTCTGTCTCTTTCTGTGTTTCTTTTGTGGGAAAAAAAAAAAAAAAAAAAAAAAACCTTCCTCTTTCTGACTTTGTTTTGTGTACATAACATGGCTGGGCCGGCGACCGGCCGGTCGAGCTGGCCCGGTCCAATCGGGGCTGGACCGGCCCGGGGGTGGGTCAACCAGCAAACCGGATGGCCCAAAAAAATGCCAAATTTACATATTGTATACTATGCTCTTAGAGGGTTGGAATGACTGAGATCACACTCACGCTAGCACAATCTTAGATGTATCTGCCTGTAATTATGGCCCTACTTGGATGTATCTGGCCGCAGCTACGTCCAGAAATGGTGTAAAAAGTCCTAGTGTGAGTATGCTGTGAGTGATGAGAAGTGGTCGGCGTGGTGGGCTGACGATCAAACATGCTTTTTTGAAGTTTTTTATTGCTTGGAATTTTTATTTTATTTTTTGGGGAAAGCTTGGATGTTGGAAATCCGCACCCCCTATGACGCATTGACCGGAAAAAAAAAAAAAAAAAAAAAAAGGTTGCCATGCACTCATGAGTGTATACTTTTTTTCTTGCTGCTTGGAAATTCATCATGTCATTGGAAGGAGAAGAAGGGCACAATTGGAGGAAGTGAGGTGGCTTTATTGATTTCCTCCGAGTCCCGGAAGTAGAGCATGTAAGTTGCACGTTCTTTGTTCATTCCTTGTTCTTTTTTCTTCAGGTTYTTTTTTTTTTTTTTTTTTTTTTGGTTCCCTTCCTTTGCTCTTCTTYTTTTYTTTTTTCAATCCTTGTTCTCTTCATTTCTTCAGGTCAATTATAGCCAGATCTGCCTGTAAACCACCAATACATTTCCCAGCCTTTTTTTTTTTTCAAAGTTGCGGCTTGTATCCTGCTGTAACTATTGGGCATTGAACTCCGGGCCACAA